GGTAAAAGTGCGGATACACCTGTCCAGGGTAAGAGAATAATAGAATCTTACATGGGTGTGGTCCGTGGACAGGGAAATCTCAACCCTAGGGTGAGACAAGGAAATCTCACACCGGTAAAAGTGCGGATACACCTGTCCAGGGTAAGAGAATAATAGAATCTTACATGGGTGTGGTCCGTGGACAGGGAAATCTCAACCCAAGGGTAAGAGTTTGGCTGTCTAGCACAAGGCTTTGCTTGATTCTTTTCTCCATTACTCGACATAAACATGCCAGTGTCAATACTCTGTGAGCTTCGTATGCTTGCAATTTCATTGACGTGCATGAATACATGTACAATTATGTTAATTCTATAGGGGTGATGAACTCTGAACATAAAATCAGAAATCCGTTTTAGCACAACATTCGTAATATTTTTATTCAATAATCCAACTGTAATATATCAGTTTAAACTGTATATATCTTGAAATAAAAACAAAATTTATGAAAATTTAACAGTCAAAACAAGGTTACTATTTCAAACACAGAATATGGCAGACTTGCCTAGGGTCAATAATTCCATTTATCAGTGAATCACAGTCGGAGTGACGTCATAGTGTCTTGACACATAGCGCATGTAGGCTGTCTTCCCCTTGGGAAGACAGGTTTATTTTTTCATGGGTCAATTCACGTTTTTCACGGGCAAGTATGGGATAAAAACTTTTCACACCCTAGGGTTGAGATGGGGGGATTCCCGTATTCCTAACAACTGTATGATGTCACGTCAACAATGCATCCACGTCACGACAACTCTGCATTTAGCCTGTAAGTTAATGTAACAGTATGTGTATGATATACAATGGGTGAACAGGGTAGGAAAAATATTCATTTACTCCCTTGATGTGAGATTGGGAACCCCATAGGTTGAGAGATTCTATTCATCTCTAATGTGCACATTGTCCATTTGTTTCATACTTGTCTTGTATACACCTGCCTCTTTGTATTCACATCTATTAATGTTTACTGTATGACAATAACAGACTTGTCTGTCTTCATTCACAATGACACAGTCGACAACAAAGATAATGTTGAACTTGACATAAAAGTCCAGCTCCCTCTTGAAAAAATAAACAATTTGAAATTCACAAATGAAAGTTGTTCAAGTGAACAAGTGAATTATCTTATAAATCTGAGTTTACAAAAGCAGTTGATGGATCATGCCACAGTACTATTTGTAAATCATTTTATACCATTTTGAAACTATTATTTCTGAACACATTAATGAGAAATAGTAGAAACTGCATGCAAGATATTTACACAAGTAACAAAACTCAAATTTCAAAATAATTATTTGCTCACTGAAGATTTTACATATATCAAAATTTCATCATTGAAAGCTGACAACGAATGTTTGAAATTGAAATAAAAATTTAAAAAAAGTAGAAGTATGGACTTTCCATCAATGTGTTAACACACATTGAGTTGAATTCCAAAAAAATCTTTTATGTGATATTTCAAATAAAAACTACCTGCCAGGGTATTCCACATTAAGATCAGAAACTCTGAACATAAAGAAAATTAAATCTCCCCGACACAAAATTAATTATCCTGTTTCTGCCAGGTATAATCCAAATAGAAGGAAAGCTTTTGATGATAAACTGTATACAGTCTGTATTAAGAAACTTTTTCAAATATTTTAAATTGTATACTTAAATATCTAACCTTATTTGTCCAATTCAGTTAAACATTATGCACATATACAGAACCTGGAATGTTTAACATTGCCTCTCAAATGCAAACCGAACAGAAAACTATCGGGTGAACACAAATGGTTGCAAATGCAAACACAACAATAAATGCAAAACGAAAAACGAAGAATGCAAAATGCAAACCTTTTTTGGAACGCGTTAAACATTTCAGGGTCTGTATTTTATACTAAATTTGGAAAAAATTTTGAAATTCACCAATTGGTCCATAATATAATGTTCAATAATGTAAGTATATTCTGTACATACTACCAGAAATTGAAAACTTTGAAATTCTGGGCATAAGGGCCAAATCAACAGAACTTCAGGTCACTTGGATAAACTTTGTTTATCATTTCTGAAGTTTAGTATTGAATTGATAAACTGATTTCCATGCCAACCTTTGGGAAGTCAGGGTAATGCTTGACTGCCTCGTCCAGTAGTGTATTAGCATTCCTTATCTCTCCTAGACACCACTCCAGCTTGACCGACTTCATCATCACCTGTGTAGAACAAATCATCATCATCATCATCATCATCATCATCATCATCATCATTATCATCATAACTCTCAAACAGAAATGTCTGTCAGACATGAATACCCCTACTTCCAAGAAAGTAAGTGTCATTGTTTCCTCACTTCCTATAAAAAGGCATGGTGACTTTGGCCTTGACCTTAAAACCTTGAAATGTAGAGGTTGTATAAAGTTTGATTAAAATCCATTAATATTCTGTATGAGGTAAACTAGAGTGATGGTAATGAATTGGTATGGGACAGGACTGAATCTGATGTGATGAGACATGGTGGGATATGATGGGTCGTGATGGAACTTGATGTGATGTGGTATGACAGAACATGACGTGATGTGACATGATGGGACAGTACAGAACGTGATGTGATATGATCGGCCAGTACACAACAAGATGTGATGTCATATGATGGGACATTACAGAAGTGATGTGATGTGACATGATGGGACAGTACAGAATGTGACATGATGTGACAGTACAGAATGTGACGTGATGTGACATGATGTGACAGTACAGAATGTGAAATGATGTGACAGAACAGAATGTGACGTGATGTGGCATGATGTGACAGTACAGAACGTGATGTGAGGTGACATGATGGGACAGTACAGAACGTGATGTGACATGATGGGACAGTACAGAACATGACATGATGTGACATGATGTGACAGTACAGAACATGACGTGATGTGACATGATGGGACAGTACAGAACGTGACGTGATGTGACATGATGGGACAGTACAGAACGTGACGTGATGTGACATGATGGGACAGTACAGAACGTGACGTGATGTGACATGATGGGACAGTACAGAACGTGACGTGATGTGACATGATGGGACAGTACAGAACGTGACGTGATGTGACATGATGGGACAGTACAGAACGTGACGTGATGTGACATGATGGGACAGTACAGAACGTGACGTGATGTGACATGATGGGACAGTACAGAACGTGACGTGATGTGACATGATGGGACAGTACAGAACGTGACGTGATGTGACATGATGGGACAGTACAGAACGTGACGTGATGTGACATGATGGGACAGTACAGAACGTGACGTGATGTGACATGATGGGACAGTACAGAACGTGACGTGATGTGACATGATGGGACAGTACAGAACGTGACGTGATGTGACATGATGGGACAGTACAGAACGTGACGTGATGTGACATGATGGGACAGTACAGAACGTGACGTGATGTGACATGATGGGACAGTACAGAACGTGACGTGATGTGACATGATGGGACAGTACAGAACGTGACGTGATGTGACATGATGGGACAGTACAGAACGTGACGTGATGTGACATGATGGGACAGTACAGAACGTGACGTGATGTGACATGATGGGACAGTACAGAACGTGATGTGAGGTGACATGATGGGACAGTACAGAACGTGACGTGATGTGACATGATGGGACAGTACAGAACGTGACGTGATGTGACATGATGGGACAGTACAGAACGTGACGTGATGTGACATGATGGGACAGTACAGAACGTGACGTGATGTGACATGATGGGACAGTACAGAACGTGACGTGATGTGACATGATGGGACAGTACAGAACGTGACGTGATGTGACATGATGGGACAGTACAGAACGTGACGTGATGTGACATGATGGGACAGTACAGAACGTGACGTGATGTGACATGATGGGACAGTACAGAACGTGACGTGATGTGACATGATGGGACAGTACAGAACGTGACGTGATGTGACATGATGGGACAGTACAGAACGTGACGTGATGTGACATGATGGGACAGTACAGAACGTGACGTGATGTGACATGATGGGACAGTACAGAACGTGACGTGATGTGACATGATGGGACAGTACAGAACGTGACGTGATGTGACATGATGGGACAGTACAGAACGTGACGTGATGTGACATGATGGGACAGTACAGAACGTGACGTGATGTGACATGATGGGACAGTACAGAACGTGACGTGATGTGACATGATGGGACAGTACAGAACGTGACGTGATGTGACATGATGGGACAGTACAGAACGTGACGTGATGTGACATGATGGGACAGTACAGAACGTGACGTGATGTGACATGATGGGACAGTACAGAACGTGACGTGATGTGACATGATGGGACAGTACAGAACGTGACGTGATGTGACATGATGGGACAGTACAGAACGTGACGTGATGTGACATGATGGGACAGTACAGAACGTGACGTGATGTGACATGATGGGACAGTACAGAACGTGACGTGATGTGACATGATGGGACAGTACAGAACGTGACGTGATGTGACATGATGGGACAGTACAGAACGTGACGTGATGTGACATGATGGGACAGTACAGAACGTGATGTGAGGTGACATGATGGGACAGTACAGAATGTGACGTGATGTGACATGATAGGATAGGACAGAACATGATGTGATGTGACATGATGGGACAGTACAGAACATGACGTGATGTGACATGATAGGATAGGACAGAACATGATGTGATGTGACATGATGGGACAGTACAGAACATGACGTGATGTGACATGATAGGATAGGACAGAACATGATGTGATGTGACATGATGGGACAGTACAGAACATGACGTGATGTGACATGATAGGATAGGACAAACATGACGTGATGTGACATGATGGGACAGTACAGAACATGATGTGATGTGACATGATAGGATAGGACAAAACATGATGTGATGTGACATGATGGGACAATACAGAACATGACGTGATGTGACATGATAGGATAGGACAGAACATGATATGATGTGATATGGTGGGACAGAACATGATGTGATGTGATATGGTGGGACGGGACAAAATGGGACGTGATGTGATATGATGGGACAGGACAGATTGTGATGTGATGTGACGTGATGGGACAGGACAGAATGTGATGTGATGAGACAGGACAGAAAGTGATGTGATGTGACATGACAGGACAGAACGTGATGTGATGTGATACGATGGGACAGGACAGAATGTGATGTGATGTGACATGACGGGACAGGATGGAACATGATGTGATGGGATAGGACAGAATGTGATGTGACATGACAGGACAGGCCTGGACAGGACAGGATGGCCGTGTGTAACACCATACGCCCCACAGCATCAAATCGCCAGGTAATAAAAAGGCAAGGACACCTTTATGAAACAAGGACAACGAATGTGGACACTTAACCTCTGAATATTTAGGAGGTTTCCCTAATTTGAACACTCACCATCAGAATGGGATGTGAGATACATACCCGTGCAGTTGGAGCACTAGCTCTAGCCTTCTGCAGCAGTCTCCTGGCTCTCTCAAATTCGTTATTTTCAGACTCCAGTTTGACAGCAGCTAGCCAGATTTCTTCACTGTTAGGATTGGCCTGAAATGCCAAGGCCAGGATACTTCTGGCAGCTGGGACGTCACCCTGATAGAAATAAAACAAAAGACATTGCAAAGAATTTCCAAAGATACACTGAACAGATAGAATCTCTGCTTCCCCCACCCTCTGTCCCTTCCCCCACCCTCTGTCCCTTCGCCCAGCTCTAGATCTGCTGCTATACTTTATAAAAAAACAAATTCATAAACAATACAGTTGACCAAACATACATAACGTTAGTTGCTTATCAAAAAGGTAATACTTTATACTGAGAACCACACTTAGGCGGAAAAAAAAGGTGTCTGTTTAGGGTTCCCGACCGACCCTAGCTTTTTACCCCCGACCCAAAACTTTTTGATGTAAAAAAAAAAAAAAAAAAAAAACCCACTGATTTTCGAATTTTAGAAGGTTCCTTGCCTTTCAAAATGGCTTACAGCTCCTTGTTGAGCACAATTGCCTCCAAATGAACCTTGTTTATGTAATTCTTTGTTTTACATACAATAGTAGGGTCATAATCACATGACCAAAAATATAAAAAAAAAAAAAAAAAAAAAATCCGACCTACCTACCCTAGTTTTTTTGCCAATGCAACCCTAAACAGACTATATATTTTGTTTGGCCTTATATTAGACAATGATTATTCACCACACACACATGACCCACACATTAATGCAACACACACACACATAATTCCCACTTTTCCCTCCTAGACACTATTAATGTATTGTATGCTATATGGCCTGGCCTGTCTATGCATTCACCAACTGCTATACTTACCGCCAACCATTTTGACTTAGCACCCATCAGCCACAGAACCTCAGCCTTAGGACAATGGGCCACAGCTCTCTGTAACAAGGACTCCAGGGACTCCCTAATAAAGGATAACAAAATTTAGATTTATCTATTTTTATTAATTTGGCTGTAAATTTAGTAATACATACAGATATTGATATCATATTTTATAATTAGTTTGTCTTTACTATGAAAAATGCATCATTTAGAGGTTTGCTTTATCCTTGTGTTGTTATCACAGAAGCTGTTACAGTATACTGCAGCTTTTCTACCATGCAGAAAACCAATATGATGTTTTACACGATGACTGATGATGTTTTACACAATAACTTATGATGTTTTACACAATAACTCATGATGTTTTACACGATGGCCGATGATGCTTGACAAAATAATTGATGAAGTTTAAAACGATAACTGATGATGTTTTACACAATAACTGATGAAGTTTGAAACGATAACTGATGATGTTTTACACAATGACTAATGATGTATTACACAATGACTGATGTTGATTTAAACAATAACTGATGATGTTTTACAAAATAACTGATGATTTACACAATAACTGATGTTGATTTACACAATAATTAATGATGTTTTACACAATAACTCATGAAGTTAAAAACGATAGCTGATGATGTTTTACACAATAACTGATGAAGTTTAAAACGATAACTGATGATGTTTTACACAATAACCGGTGATGTTTTACACAATAACTGATGATTTTTACACGAAAACTGGTGATGTTTTACACAATGACTGATGATGTTTTACTCGAAAACTGGTGATGTTTTACACAATGACTGATGATGATGTTTTACACAATGACTGATGATGATGTTTTACACAATGACTGATGATGTTACTCGATGACTGATGAGGTTTTACACGATGACTGATGATGTTTTACACAATGACTAATAAGGTTTTACACGATGACTGATGAGGTTTTACACGATGACTGATGATGTTTTACACGATGACTGATGAGGTTTTACACAATGACTGATGATGTTTTACACGATGACTGATGATGATTTACACGATGGCTAATAAGGTTTTACAAGATGACTGATGAGGTTTAACACAATGACTGATGATGTTTTAAACAATAATTGATGTTTTATACGATGACTGATGAGGTTTTACACAATGGCTGATGATGTTACTTGATGACTGATTATGTTGTACATGAAGACTGATGATGTTTTACACAATAACTGATGATGTATTATTCGATGACTGATGTTTTACACGATGACCAATGACGATTTTAATTGTCATCATTTACCTTGTACCATGACTTTTCTCAAAGTAGGCTGCTCTCAACCATATGCTCTTTTTACTTGGAAACTCTGACAAAGCAAAGGCATAAATGGCCCGTGCACATTCATTGGCTCCATTCACAGCACACTGGAAACGAAATAAAACATTAAAATTAACATCATTAATTACCTAATAAAATTCTTGAAGTTCATTAAAATACATTTTTGACAGGAAAATAAGAATATTTTAACAGCATCATAAACAATGACAACATAGTTCTTCTGTATTAAATTTTTATTTTATTTACTTATTTATAGGGAAGAAAAATTCAAAAGCCTTAATAATGATAAAAATTTATAAAATAACATTTTATGCTATATATATATTTGACTTGAAGGTCTGGTAGTGTGTAAGTTATGTACAAGTCCATTGGATATTGTCACTGCTTAGGAAATATCTTATTTTTAAATAATGTTTCCTACTGTTTTTGTGCAAACAAAGAGTTGTGAAAACACTTCAAGGGCCTAGCTTTATATTCAGTCTGCAGGAGTGGACTTTTTGGTAGGGCAATACATGTTTTAAAACATCAGTCTGAACTGAATTACTTACCGATTCAGCGTCTTCCATCCAAGTGTGTTTACGGTCCTCTTCTTCAATACCCACACTAACGATAGACCGGCTGTAAACAGAAATGATCGTATGACTCACCCAATTTACTACATCATACAGCAATGTCATGAATATGGTAATACAAAAATGTACTTACGTGTAATAAAATCTAAAGGCGCTGTCGCCAAAATCATAACAAATTCCTACACAACTAGGGGTACTACCTTTATTTAACTGCCTTTTTTCCTGATAAATATTGATGTTTTTGCTAATAAATGATAATGTTTATTTTGTCATTATTATTTTCATTGCAAGTAAAACTGTTCATCATTAAAAAAAAATCTGGAAATTGTTTGCACTGCATGGAACAACACTATGATCAGAGTACTTTGGTTATACTTATATAGAGTCAGTTGATAAGACATAATTGTGTGTGAAGTGGGTTTTTTTCAAATTATAAATGTTATGTTTTAAATAGAATCTTACACAAGTGTCTATGTCATATTGAATTTATTGCATTGATTCAATAAATTAAATATGAAATGGACACTAATGTAAGTCCTCTATATATTACATATAAATTGTCTACACCATTTGTACCAGTACAAACTGAGGTTATTCCTTCTAGAAGATTATTCGTAACTAAATATTAATCTAATGCTATGTATATACTGCTAATCTAATGCTGTATATATACTGCTCCAAACTATAAACACGGTATAAATAAGTTTTCCAATTATTACAAATTTTCATTAAATTTTACTTTTATTTTTTCCTTCTGAATTAATGATACATGTTTTATGTTTGTATAACTTAAGCATCCAAGTGATTCATATATGTATGCCAAGAGAATTCAAAATTGAAAAAATACCGCTACAAGTATGTTTAAAACAGACATACTTTCTACAAGGACGAATGAGAAGAACAGTTACAAATCTGATTGCCTGACATGCGGTAACAAATGAGAAGATCTATTACATTTTCTACTGACCAATAAGTAGATCTGTTACATAATTACATGAATGCCACACACGTGTTACATAGTGAGAATCTATTACATTTCTATGGACAAATGAGAAGATCTGTTACATAATTACATGAATGCCTGACACGTGTACAAATGAGAAGATCTATTACATTTCTATGGACCAATGAGAAGATCTATTACATTTCTATGGACCAATGAGAAGATCTGTTACATACATGATGGCCTGACACGTGATAATGCTGCCACTTTTCTCACAGTCTTCTCCATCTTTGATCCACTGCTCTCTGTTGACTTCCACCATGTTGGCTCGGAGAGAGTTCAGGGCTGTCAGTAGCAAATACATTATTGCACTATTCTTGTTGTTATAACTGAATGACATGTTATATATAAACACCCTATCTAACTAAACTAAACCACTCTAGAGGTGCTCAACTTTTGTAGCAGGATAGGAAAAAATGCACTGCAGACTGGGGTTCAAAACCTGGACTCCCAACTCTAGATGGACGCTCTACCAATTAAGCTACCTGATTGATGCCTATCAAGTCGACCCAGTCCAGTTCCACTTCACTATATACAATTCATACATGCCAGATTTCCTGGGGATATGTTTTGTGAAATTTTCATTCATTTTGAGGGAATTTCCACTCAAAAAATATTGAGGCAATATTTCCTGATGTACAGTATAACAATTTATATATGTTTAATGTGAGCAAAGTTGTTGCAAAATGTCCTACACAAACAAAATGAAAGATGGTTGCCACTATTTCAACCAACTCACCTACATTTGTTTACACTAAGGACAAAATCCCTGTGTTCAATTACAATTTGTTTTGCTCAGTCAAACTTTCCCTGATCCTCGATACTCCAGGGGTTACACTCACTTTCGCTCTCTGCACCCCTGGAATATGTCATAGCAAAATATAAGGCACACGGCTAGCTATTTGATTGGTCTCGGTGAAAAATCTAGGCTTGATACCTGTCCTTTGAAGATTACAAAGGAGCAACACCAGACATCAAAGCCAGTACATTTTACCGTTATGCAGCAGCGAGATTCTTTTGATGTCCATGAAAGGATCCAATTAGTCTTCTCGTCTCCTCCACAAGGTGGCACACACTGAGCCTTCATTTTCGCTATGACATATTCCAGAGGTGCAGAGAGTGAAAGTGAGCGTAACCCCTGGAGTATCAAGGACCTGGACGACTTGCGCCCTACGCCAGAATAATCCATATTTTCCCAATCTTAAATTCACCCTCTACTTATATAACTATGCATATTATGTTATTTTCTGTAATGATAAATTTGCCCTCATTACCTAGCCAAAAACGAACATTAAACTGCATTGAACATTTCCCATTATACAATATATATAACAAACCTCTGTCTACAATTTTCTCCACCATTTGCAGGTTGCCATTGGCCTCCTCAAGTTTTGCAGCTGTGATCCAAATCTGGCGATCTGTAGGGATGTTCTCACGGGCCTTGTTTAAAACTTTACGTGCATTTTCGTAGGTTTCCAGCCGTGCCAGAGCTAACCAGAGCTGTGAAAAGTTTACACAAATTATATCAAAAAGTCAGTGTTAACCAGAGCTGTGAAAAGATCACACAAGTTAGTCAGCACTAACCAGAGCTGTGAAATGATTACACAGATTATACCAAGTGGTCAGAGCTATCAGAGCTGTGAAAAGATTAAAGGATTATACCAGGTAGTCCGAGCTAACTAGAGCTGTGAAAAGATTACGCAGATTATACCACGTAGTCAGTGCT